TCAGGGGTAGCTGACGGGGATCAGTAGAAAATTGACTGCTGATTAATTGCTAATGGAGCGATGACAAAAATATTACAGAGCCTTACAGGGATCATGAAAATTTTATCGTGACCCCTTCCACGGCGATAATAATAACCAGTTCCTTCAGGGTAACAGATGAATTATTAATGACTTATTACTTCAATGTAGGTTAACGTTTTGTTGTGTCAGCGACAAAGTTTAAATTGTATATTTGCGCAATTTTTTCAAATGCCGTATCTGTGTGGCTTTTTTTTTTTCGCATTTCCTCATAATCTCTGTGTGATTGGCAAGCTCCACACCTTATTATGTAAATATTCAGGGTGAAACTAGGACAGAGAGTCAAACACTAAGGGGTGCTCCAGGTGAAGGCTCGGAGTCGAGCCCCGTCGAAGCCTGGACGTTTCCAGGCTTTATTTTGCAATTTCGAGAATTATTTCTTGTTTCCTTGTTACATTATGTTGCTTTTAATAAGTAAATATTTTTAGAGGGCTGTTAGCAAATGACGTGAGAATAAAAACATTTTCCATAATGGCTGTTCTGAACAGAAATACAAATGACGATCTCAGAAGGAGCACTCAAGAGGAAGCCTGCGATTTTCTACCAGTAGCTGAAAACCACATTGGCTTCATAATCGGCAAGAAAGGAAGTACAGTAAAACAAATACAAGAAACGTCAGGGGCGAAGATCAGTACTCAGTCAGAAGAAGGTCGCATCGGATTCGCTATTCGTGGTAATGAGAGGCAAAGGGCCCGTGCAAAAGAGTTAATTCACAAGAAATTGGTAGGTAGCTATTAAAGGAAGTGGAACTTTTTCTGTAGTCGTAACTCCTTAGATTTTCCTATTTTCTAGTATCTGTATTTATTTGAATACAGTTAATCTGATTGTTAGTCAGCTAGTTAGTCATTCATTTAGTCAAATGAATAAAGGGGTAAGTTTCTAAAGAAACTGAGGTGCTGCGTCGGTGGGAGAGTACAGCAGGTAATTTAGTGTTAACAACTGAGTTGAAAAACGTAAGTTAGCCACCGTAAAGGGTAAAAAAGCTGACGTTTCGAGCGTTAGCCCTTCGTCAGAGCGATTGGAGGAATTGTGGGTTGTGTGTGGGTTTATATGCAAAAAGTGGAGCTACGCCATTGGTGGGAATATGGTGACAAGAAAACAGAAATAAATTAGTTGAAGGAAAAGCGCTCGTTGATTCCGTGGGGATTAAGGGTGCCGATTTGGAAGATAAATTTTTGTTCTAGTGTGGTTTACGGCTTTCCGAACTGCCTAGATGTAAGGAAAGGGCGCAAACTGCGATATGCTGTTTAAAATGATTAGGAAGATTAAAGTGTCTAGCGACTGGTTTGGATGCGTCCTCGTCATTTCTTTCCACGTCGCGAAGGTGTTCCTGGAATCGGTCACCTAGTCGTCTTCCTGTTTCGCCGATGTATAACTTATTGCAATAAGTACAAGTTATGCAGTAAATCAATCAGTCCGAAATGAAGTCAGTCATGATCTCAGCCAGAGTCAGTCAATCAGTTTGCTTGGTACCCAATTAAATAGACAGTCGTGATCATGCGTGGTTGTCAATTATCGCTGATTCTGTTTGTCGTCATGTCTTTCTTTCTGCCTCTGTTTTTTGTTTGTATGTGAGAACCTGCTTTTCCTACTCTCTGTAAACATTGTACATTCTTACGAACTTTCGATTCCAAAGGAAACTCTATCAAGAAATCAAAGCGTCCCTGGTCGACCGATTGTGATTCCAAAAAAGTTTGAGAAACTAGTAAGAGGACCAGATGGAGACCATCTTCAACATGTTAGCACTATGACTGGAGCTGCAGTAAGTTCAATAGGACCCGATCATCGGCTGTATGTAAGTGGATCCAAGAGAAACACAAAGCATGCCGAGTATGTGATAAAAAGCAGAATGGTGAGTTTAACACTGACATTATTTCATGTCAAAGAAAATAAGATTTTGGATACCCTGCCAAATGTGAGATATCTCTTTTATTTATAGCACAGAGGGGAGCTCTTTTTTTCAGTTAGGTCAACAATTTTCCTGCATTGATTGTAAACCCTAGTTCCATAGAAATCCATGGCAGATTAGTTTTTTTCGCTCTGTTTTAGGCCGCGGGAAGAGTCATGGCTAACAGAATTTGCGTCTTTATAGACGATAAAAATCTCCCGGAAGATTGTGAATTACAGCTTGTCCCTGTTGAGGAAATGGAGCGCTTAATACTTTCAGCAGGAAGTTCATCACAGTATCGCTTGAAACCTTGTGAAGAATACGATATGGTTGTACAGGTTTGTGCAAAAAGTGGCTAATGGTGAAAGGTGTTTATGGCTGAACACTCCGCAATAATTCTGTCTCAGTGCAGGTATATCGTTGCCAAAAAAAAACCGTTCAGGGTTAAATAATAGACGCGGATAAGGTTAATGACCAAGCTAATTGACTACTGATGCTTAGTTAGTTTTATTTTCAAGATTAAGGAGGTAATGGGCGTCGAGACTTTAGATATAATCCTAAGGCAAAGCAACTGGAAAAAACAAAAACAAAACAAAAACAATAACCCAACGGAAGAAATGCTTCCCTATCTGACAAGATCGATTTTAATTATAGGGAGCTTATGCGCTCAATCAAGCTGTCGCAAAATATGATGCATCCATAAACGAAACAGTTTTAACATCCTTAAGGAAATTGAAAATGGAAATTGGGTCCGGAAATTATCACAAAGCTGACCTGTGGTGTCATTTAGGGAAAATCGTCATTCGGGATCCAGACGAAGGTAAGGCTTAAGTAATTTATAATTAATAGATGAGTAGATTACTGGGATGTAAAACACAGGTACCTCTACCTTTGCCTTCCTTTCTTCGTCATGAGAACGCTGCGGTGTAATGTTTGTTCTCCATAAACAAGGCGTTAGCTGACTTTCCTATCATAATTAACTGGAGAATTCTAAGTTCTCTTTCAAAATTGTTAAGGGAAAGCCTATCGTCCATTGACACAAGTATCATCCATCACAGTTTAGTGTTTAGCATACATTAGTTATCGTCCTATCACAAATTCCTTATTCTGATTGGCTATTGTACTCGCTAGATAAAGGGGGTAAAGGGGGTAAGTTTCTAAAGAAGCTCTGG